GCGGCCGGGGATGAACCCACACACCCTGGACTCGGATTCCCTGAGACATCCAGAGCTTGTGAAGGCTCTGGGCTGTCCAGTTCCCTTTTAAAAGTCCATCAAAATCATGCTGACGCTGAAGTATTTTCATATCCTTGCAAGGACAGGTCATGAGATCTCCGGGCCACCAAAAGCTAGCCAAAAGCACATTCCAAACCTAAATTAAATCCAGATTTAGGCTCCACACACTCAGGACATCTAATAGGAACACTCCAGTTGATTAAAAAAATGAAATGCATATAGAGTCAGAACAACCATGAACATAATTTTATACATTTTGCAAAACCTTCATTTGTGATATCTATAACAATATAATTTAAAAATCGATATTGTATTAATAGACTACTGGAGATTATTTTCATTACCAGCAAGCAAGAAGAGGAGTCTGATGATCTAATATTTGGGGAAAAAGTAGTCAAAACAGTAATGTAGAACTTGTTTGAGAAAACAAGATACTGGACAAGAAAAATACCATTGAATATGGAAAACAAAACCACAGGCACTGAGAAAATATCTGAACTAGACATTGGTACTTATCACAAGAATCAACTGCTGCAGACTAATTACAAGACTTTTTAATATGTATCTCTGAGGAAAAAGTCTGCCTCTCCTGTTTCTAACTGCTGGAGGGAAGAGGTGGGAAGGGTTTCTTTGTTTAACCAGACAGAGCTCCTGGGATGAGGAGGAGCTTGAGAAAGGAGAGGTCAAAACAGCTTTTGATCCTTTGGAGCTGCTATTACAGCTCCCAGCAGAAGTTTTAGATCAGGATATTTATTAAACATCTAAGGAGCCTGAGGAGCATCAGCTGGCTGGGAACAGTGATAGACAGATTTCCATTGCAGTGAGGTGTCAACATCTGTAGAAACCAAAAAAAAAATGAAGTGCAAGTTGTCAAACGGGAATCTTGGAATCTTGGAAAACAGATCCTAACTCAGCACAAGAAAACCCTGTTGTAGCTGCTGAACTCAACACATGCTGCTCACCAGGCAAATTCACTGATTAGGAAAGCAAACCCAATCTTGGGTGATGAGCTGTATTTTGTTTTGCTCAGGTGTTAAAATTTGGTTTTCATTTAGCAGGAACATTCTAACCCAATGCTATCAAAGGCTCTTTGCTGACTCAGATAGCAGAAAAAATTCATTTTGCTGAATCCCCAAAACTCACCAAGATACCTGAAGGTCTGTAGCTGAACTAAAATAAAAGTCGTGCTTCAGCACCCAGGTATGATGCAAATCCTGGGATGCCACTCCTGTTCCAAATGTACATTAATCACCAAAAATTAATCACATTCTTCACAAGGAATGGCCAAAGCAACAGAAGGCTTTACCCTGTGTGAGGGAGCTGGGACTGTGGCTGGCTGTGGCTCTCAGCTGCCTCAGGACCATGTTTTAAGATTTTTTTGAGTTTTTTTCAGTATAGAGGCATGAGAAGTCCTGAAACCAGATGGCAAAACCCCATATTCTAGCACATTGCAGTCTGAAAGGAAATCCCATGGCCAAGTCCTACAGACTTTACTCAACCATTAATCCTGAAATTATTACTGAAATTGTCTGGCATCTGTTCCATGACCAACCAAGAAAATAAAGCATTTCCATTATAATAAGAGTTGGTTAAAAATGCCCTGGGCAGGTTCCTCCCTCCACATGGCCCCAGCAGTGGCACACCTCACTTTTGGGACAGGCTGTAGTGTTGCCCACCAAGGGACCCAAAGGGACCCAGGCCTGGCCTGCTGAACTATTTGTGAGTGATTTCAGTGATTTCTAAAAGCAGCAGCAGGGGCCAAGAGTTGTGTGGCTTCAATCAATAGTGCAAGTGTAGAGCTGCAAAAAGCTCTGTTTTCCTTAGATGCCCATCTAAGGAAGGAATTTTCCAGCTGGCATCACTGCATGTTAAAAAACCAAGGAATTTATGGAAGTTCTTCCAATTTCTTGCTGCCATCCTTTTTGGTTTTCAAACAGCAACAATACAGATGCTTCTTTTCCATCAGCCAGGAATGCCTCAAGTTCCCTGGAGTCTGCAGAGAACTCAGTGTGTACCAAACTCTGCACAAAGATGGTGCAGTTGGTGCCAAAAGCAAACATTTTCTCCAAGCTATCACAAAGGTGCATTATTTGTCACAGGTTTAATGAGGCATGGCAGTGCCTTGCCATCTCTGTCAGTCCAATTACAGAGCATGTTTCCATCTATCCACACCTTCTTTAATGAAACAGCTTCCATTTACACCAAGTGACAGCAGCCTTTAAAATCAATCTCAAAGCACGTTTTATCACACACAAATTACATGGCCTCAGAAGCAAACACCTTTTCAGCAATGTTAACACTAAACTCTAAACTCTGAATCTAAAACCTTTCCTTGCAAAAATCCACATTCAGCTGCACTGCAGCCCAAAGCTGCCTTCTACAAAAACACACCCAGCATTCACTATACATAAGATTTAATTTTTTCTGAAGATAGTTTATTATTCATTACACCACAATGTGTTAAATTGCAGTAATTCCAGCCAGACAAGTTGATCCAAACTGTAAGTTGATGGAGATGGTTATTTATTACCTGCTTCAAGACAAAGCTTGCCCTCTTCATAATTGTCTGCTCCATCATCCAAGGGAAGATGAAAAGAGACAGAATAATTTCAGTTGGAGCAGGGTCAGAACAGCAGCATCATCTCCAAGCAAACAATGAGATACTTTCAGACTCAGACAGAACCATGAACACCACTAACTCTGCTCTTTCAGGACATTTAACCACAGGTACTTTTTGCTTGCTTTGTTCTAGAAAAGATTTCACCCCATGGAGGTTCCCATAAGATGAAGACTGACAAGACAGCTGAAAAAAAAATAAATATAAAAAAAAGGAGTGTCAGATTAATAAAGTAAAAGCAACCCCTGGCCACAAGCCACTGGTTTGAATTTGTTAAAGTTTCATTAAATGCTGATAAAAAGACCACAAATGGTTCACAGCAGAACTCCAAATGGCAAATTTAGTGTAAAGGCAAGGTCAGTACAGTCAGTGATCCACAGCTGAAGGTAAATATTCCCAGTAACCTCTTTCTAATGCACCTTTTACTTATGCAGTGAACATCCACATAATAGATTTAACTCCCTATTTGATTTGTATCCTGTCTTTCACACAGGACCAGATGAACTTCAGTCTAAGTGGGATCATTAAAATCATGAACAGGTTGCAGCTAAAGATGAGATGCAAAATTATTTTCAGAGTTTCCACATTAATTCATGGTAAGCTACACAATTTACATACACTTGCAGGCTGTAAGAAAAGGTTCCTCAGGATTTCTTCTAAACCAAAGCCACTAGCAGCAGGTGACTGGGCACCAATGATGTTAAAGCCCTTTGGAATATCCATCTATCAGCTCCAGGATTCCCATGGAGCCACTCTGAAAGAACCAAGCTCAGCCTCATTGGCTGCATGCAAACATCCACCCCGACTTCCACACTGTCCCTGTGGGCCAGCTCTGGAGTCCTTACAGCCTCATTGTGCTAATTACTGATGCTAATTGGCATCCTTCCTAACTGGGGCTTTCTGGACTAAGGTCACTTATCTCCTCAGGACAAGTGGACTCTCTCCTCAGCTTTCCAGGTGTGCCCTTTCCTGGGCTTTTTCCCCAAATAGCTCACGAGGAGGGGCTTGGGCTCTGCTCCCAGAGAAGAGGGACAGGACAAGAGAAAAAGGGCTCAGGGTGTGCCAGGGCAGGCTCAGGATGGACACAGCAGGAATGTCTCCATGGAAAAGAGTTCAGGACAGGCTCAGGATGGACACAGCAGGAAT